GGGGCAGCGGTGCCATGCGGACACTGCCGCTTGGGCCTTCGGCGGAGCTCCCTATGGGGCCACGAGCCGAGTGAGGGGTGTGCCGAAATAAGGGTGCGGTGCCATGCGGGCGCTCCCACTGTGGCCTTCGGTTGAGCTCCCTATGGGGGGCCACGAAACGTGAGAAGAGTGTGCCAAAATTGGGCGGCTGTGCCATGCGGACGCTCCCGCTGGGGCCTTCGGTGGAGCTCACTGTGGGGCCACGAACCGTGTGAAAGGTGTGCCAAAATGGGGCGGCGGTGCCACGCGGACACTGCCGCTGGGGCCTTCGGTGGAACTCCCTATGGGGCCACGAACCGTGTGAGGGGTGTGCCGAAATGGGGCGGCGGTGCCATGCGGACACTGCCGCTGGGGCCTTCAGTGGAGCTCCTATGAGGCCACAACCCGTGTGAAAGGTGTGCCAAAATGGGGCGGCTGTGCCATGCTGACGCTCCCGCTGGGGCCTTCGGTGGAACCCCTGATGGGGCCACGAACCGTGTGAAAGGTGTGCCAAAATGGGGCGGCTGTGCCATGCGGACGCTCCCGCTGGGGCCTTCGGTGGAGCTCACTACGGGGCCACGAATCGTGTGAAGGGTGTGCCAAATGGGGCGGCGGTGCCATGCGGACGCACCCGCTGGGGCCTTCGGTGGAACCCCTGATGGGGCCACGAACCGTGTGAAAGGTGTGCCAAAATGGGGCGGCGGTGCCATGCGGACACTGCCGCTGGGGCCTTCGGTGGAACTCCCTATGGGGCCACGAACCGTGTGAAAGGTGTGCCAAAATGGGGCGGCTGTGCCATGCGGACGCTCCCGCTGGGGCCTTCGGTGGAGCTCACTACGGGGCCACGAATCGTGTGAAGGGTGTGCCAAATGGGGCGGCGGTGCCATGCGGACGCACCCGCTGGGGCCTTCGGTGGAACCCCTGATGGGGCCACGAACCGTGTGAAAGGTGTGCCAAAATGGGGCGGCGGTGCCATGCGGACACTGCCGCTGGGGCCTTCGGTGGAACTCCCTATGGGGCCAATAACCGTGTGAACGGTGTGCCAACATGGGGCGGCGGAGCCATGCGGACGCTCCCGCTGGGGCCTTCGGTGGAGCTCACTATGGGGTCACGAACCTTGTGAAAGGTGTGCTGAAATGGGGCGGCTGTGCCATGCGGACGTTCCCACTGGGGCCTTCGGTGGAGCTCCCTATGGGGCCAATAACCGTGGGAAAGGTGTGCCAACATGGGGCGGCGGTGCCATGCGGACGCTCCCGCTGGGGCCTTCGGTGAAGCTCTGGGCCACGAACCGTGTGAGGGGCGTGCCAAAATGGGGCAGCGGTGCCATGCGGACGCTCCCGCTGGGGCCTTCGGCGGAGCTCCCTATGGGGCCACCAACCTTGTGAAGGATGGCCAAAATGGGGCGGCGGTGGCGCATGCAACCGCTGCCACATTGGCCTCGGGTGGAGCTCCCTGTGGTGCCACAAACCGTGTGAAGGGCGCGGCGCTGACGATGGCGATGGTAATGATCATCATGATGCGGATCATGACGATGGCGATGATGATGACGATGATGACGATGACGATGACGATGACGATGACGAGGCAGGAGGGAGGAGGGGGAGGGGGAGGGGGCAGCGGGACGAGGTGAGACGCGGGGCGCCGTCTCCTCAAAGCGAGGGCCCAACACCACAGGATGGGTGGGAAGTAAATTGCAATCCGCCACAAAAAGAATAGATTTGTAATTCGTCACAGCAGGAATCAAGTTGAAATACTGCGTTTTGGCCATACACAACACGACACGGTAGAACGTTATTTCATTATCCCTAGTTGACCTCGAAAATTGCTGTTTCCAGGGGACTTGTTTAGAACCCTTACCCCCCCCCCTCACCCCGCCCTTGCATTCTCGCTCCCCCCGGGATTAATCCAACGTATATACGACTCTGCCCCATCGCTCACTTTTGCATAACAACTCAGATCACCCCAGCCAAAGCCCTCACCACTCATAGCTGTCAAATCCGCCGATCCGGCGTGTGAGTTTCAAGGAGTCTCAGCTACAGCCTCGAGGCTGAGCCTCAGCCTCTGGGGGGGTTGCCGGGGTGGCTCTGCCGGGGAAGGGGGGATGGGGGGGGGGGTGCGAGTTTCCGGCGGATGCGGGGGGGCTGCTTTTACAGAAGGCTCTAATCTCGAGGATGCGCTAAAAGGGTGGCCGCGGCCGCAAAAGTCTCTGAGGACGGTCTAAGAAAGTCCCGAGACCCCGAAAGATCGCCCGAACACGCCCAAGATGGCCCCAAGAAGGCCCAAGAACCTTCCAAGACGTCTGAAGAGGCCTCCAAGAGGCCTCCCACAGGGCCCCCAGAGGCAAAAATCGTTGATTTCCATTGTTTTTTATCTTGTTTTTGGGGTTGTCGCTTTTTTCGGCTTTCCGACGCTCCAAGACGGCCCAAGAGGCCCCCAAGACCGCTCGAAGACGGCTCAGGAGGCCCCCAGACAGTCCCAAGACGGCCCAAGAGGGCCCCAAGGCGGCCCAAGAGCCGCCCAAGACGGCCCAAGAACCCCCCAAGACGGCCCCAAGAGGACCCAAAAGAGGTCCGAAAAGCGGAAAAGATCTAGCCTTCCAGCCCACGAGGCCCCCAGGAGGCCCCAAGAGCCCCCAAGAGGGCCCCCCAAAGCCTCCAAGAAGCCCCCACGACGCCCTGACAGGTTCCTGTGCGAGTGTCTGTGCGTGGTGCGTGTCTGCGAATGTCTGTGCGTGCTAGTGTCTGGCGTGCGCCTAGTGTGTCTCTGTATGTGTGTCTGCCGTATGTGCATTTGGTCGTGTGCGTGCGTGAGGTGTCCGCGTAATATGCGTATCCGAGCGACCCGGATCGGCGGCACTGGCCGAAGGCCACTACAATACTGAAGTATGCGTACATCCGCTTTCCAATAACATCGGTGCTCAGAAACTCTTCGCCTAAACATGGAACACAAGCCACGCGCGGGCATCGTCAAGCGCGCCGGGATCCTGCAAAAACCCTCGGCGCCGTAAGGATTTCAAGATCGAGGTCCCCGCAAACATTTAAAAACAACTGGTTTTGCAGCATAGATTGTCCAAAAACTCTGCACGCGCCCTCTGGCGAGTTCTTGAGAGACTAGGGGCTCTTCAACACATTCACCAAATGCGGCCAACCAGGCCTCTCGCGCGCGCATGCCAAAATCATTTGCACGCCCGTTCGCGCCTGTTGGGAAAGGAAAATCACCCGCAAACAACACCATGCGGGCCACTCGCGCGCGTCGGCCGCGCAAGCATGTCGAAATCCTTTCAAAACCTGCCTCACCGACGCGTGGACACCATCATCGTCATCGGCGTGACCAGCATCGGCGCCGTCGTTGGCCTGGCCGTCGTCATCATCATCGTCATCGTCGCCACCAACGACGCTACGATCATCATCGTGTCTTCCGCTGTCTGCGTCGCCGTGATACCGCTCCCGCCCAAGTCACCGACCCGCCCAAGCCGCCGTAATACCGACCCGCCCAAGTCACCGACCCGCCCAAGTCTCCGCCCAAGTCCCAAGTCCCGTGTCTGCCGCTGTCGGCGTGGCCGTGATACAGCGCTCGCCCAAGTCACCGACCAGCACTGAAGTGCACAGCGGTCAGCGCTGGGGAATGCACAGCGGTCAGCGCCACCGCGGCCGCGTCGGTCGCGCCAAACTAGCGGGCCGCTTTGCGCGCGAGCCTGCGTGCACTAGCGCGGCCGCAGCGACGCGCCAGCCAGCGCGAAGCAATCATCGCAATCGCCGCCGCATGGGTTTTGCGATCCAAGTTGCGGGTGGGTGGGTGGGATGATTGTGCGAGCAGTAGAGCCGACGAGTTCAAGTTCGGCAGGGGAAACTGCACCACAAAGATTGCACCACCTAGATTGCACAATATAGATTGCTAGAAACACAACGTTTGGGGGCCATGCTGACCAAATATAATACATACACATGGGACATGGAGAACCTGCGAAGGGGGCATACTTGACGCACCAGCGGTGCGTGGTAGAAGCACTTGGTCCACCCACCTCTTCCTCCTCCCCATCATCCTTGAACACCAAGTTACTCCTCCTCATCCCTCCCCCTCATTGCCCCCGCCTCCCCTCTCTCCTCCTCCCTGCCCCTCCCCCCCTCCCGCCCACTGTAATTTCTCATCCTGCTCCCCCCTCCCTTCCCTCGGCCCCTCCTCCCGCTCTTCCATCCCGGATACGGTTGGGCGGTCCCGGGGCAGTTCAAGGGCCCCCGGAGGCTGAAAACGGCCGAAACCTCCCGTCGTGATCGCTCCACAACGCGAGAAGGGTATGGGTCCTCCCTCGCCCCACCCCTCTTTTCGTGGCCCCGCCGCTCCGTGGCGGCCGCTTCTGGGCCGCCCCGAGGGGGCCCGCTGACGCGGGAAAAAAGCGGGCGCGCCGGCAGGCGCGCCCGGCGGCAGCGCAGATTACCAGCCTGGAACAGATCCCTATCCCTATGCTGGGCACCTCCTCATCACGATGCCAATCCTAGGGATTCCCTTATTTTTTGAGTGCGGACCCCTAAGGTTGTCGTCGCCTTTTGGCGTGTCAATCTTAGGGATAGGGATACGTTCGAGGCTGGCAAGCAGAGGCTCGCGCCAGGAAGCCCTGGGGCCTGGGCGGGGCGCCGGGAGGCCGGAGGCCGGAAAGTGCCTCCGGACTGGCCCCCGCGTTCTGTCGGGGCCCCGTTCGAGACTGCGGGGCGGGCTCCCCTCCAGAGCGGCAAAATATGTACGTATCCGCTCCCGGGCCAGGCCCATCCTGACCCCAGCAGCGGTGTGTGCGCCGCGCGCTCCTGGCTTGGCCGGGAGGGCGTACACACAGCTCCTGGGTTCGGGATGGCCCTGGCCGGGGATCGGTGGTTATGTATAGATTTCGTCACCCGTTTCTTGGAGATCGGGATCGGCAGCGCGGTCCACGGCTGCGGCCGGTCGCCCGCCTAAAGCGGCATGCCGTCAGCGGCCGCGGGCGGTCCGCGTCAGTAGCCGGCTGGCCGCTCGCCGCCCCCCTGCGTCGCGGCAGGCGGGGCCCGCTGTTCATCCAGGCGGAGGGTGGGGGGAGGAAGAAGGAGTGTCATCATCGCCCTGCTCCTGACCCTCCTCCTCCTCCTCCTCCTCCTCCTCCTCCTCCTCCTCCTCCTCTTCCTCCTCCTCCTTCTCTTCAACCTCCACCTCTCACCTCTACCTCTACCTCTGTCTCTTCCCTGTTCTCGTCCTCCTCGTTGTCGCCGTACTTCTCATCATCGTGGTTTCTTCTACGCATCCTCGTCCTCCTCCTGCTCCTCCTTCCCCTCCTCCTCCTCCTCCTCCTCCTCCTCCTCTCCTCCATCATCATCCTCCTCCCTCCCTCCTCCTCCTCCTCCTCCTCATCCTCCTCCTCCCTCCTCCTCACATCATCTCCTCTCATCATCATCATCATCATTCATCTCTATCATCATCATCATCATCATCACATCATCATCATCATCATCATCATCATCTCATCATCATCATCATCATCATCATCATATCATCACCACCACCACCACCACCACCACCACCACCACCACCACCACCATCATCATCATCATCATCATCATCATCATCATCATCATCATCTCCATCATCATCATCATCATCAGCATCATCATCATCATCATGATCGTCATCAGGGTCAGAATAAGAATAATTAGAATAATCATCATCACCATCATCATCAGCATCATCATCACCATCATCATCATCATCATCATCATCATCATCAGCATCAGCATCAGCATCATCATTATCATCACCACCACCACCGCTTGGTTTCGCCCGAGCCCCGTGCGCGGCCGGTGCCATGCTGACGCCCCCGCTGGGGCCTTCGGTGGAACTCCCTGTGGGGCCACGCACCGTGTGAGGGGTATGTCAAATGGGGCGGCGGTGCCATGCGGACGCCCCCACTGGGGCCTTCGGTGGAGCTCCCTACTTACGCAGGACGAAAGATTTTCCTCTTGAGGTGCAAATGGCGATGATAAGGTGGAAAGTAATGACCGAACCCCCTTTTTCCCGTAGAATCTTAACACGGGCGGGTCCGATTTGCTGGGTCCGTGTTCGGTCTTAGTTTTTACGGCGGATCCGATTTTACCCCCCCGTTCTGAATGTATAGTATTAAATTAGAAAAAGGGACCTGGAGGAAATCGGATCCGCCGAAACAAACACCAAAGCCACACTTGCATCCGCGCGAACTTCATGTGATCCGACGGTGCTTATCTCGCACGCGTCTGCTCAAGACTTCAAGCCGTCGTCCAGGGCCGAACAGGAAAAAACTTAAAACTTTCAACCTGGGGATGGGCGCTTTGGCCTTCGGACTTGGCGTTTGCCACGTAGCCGACACACCACATCTCACAGGCAGTCCGTTCTTGGTTACCACATAGCCGACACACCACATATCACAGGCAGTCCGCTGGGTCAGGAGACGCAGGGCCGAAACGCACTGGCGTTTTGACCTTCGGACTTGGTGGTTGCCACGTAACCTATACACCACATCTCACAGGCAGTCCGTTCTTGGTTACCACATAGCCGACACACCACATCTCACAGGCAGTCCGTTGGGTCAGGAGACGCAGGGCCGAAACGCATTTACGCAGGACGAAAGATGTTCCTCTTGATGTGCAAATGGCGATGATGAGTTGGAAGTTAATGACCGAACCCCCTTTCTCCCGTAGAATCTGAACACAGGCGGGTCCCGGGGTCCGCGGATCCGATTTCCTCCTGGTCCCCGTTTAAATTTAATACTATAAATTCAGAACGGGGGGGTAAAAAACGGATCCGCCGTAAAAACTAAGACCGAACACGGATCCAGCAAATCCGAAATCTGATCCGCGCGGACGGAAATCGGATCCACCGAAACAAACACCAAAACCACACTTGGATCCGCGCGAACTTCATGGGATCCGACGGTGGTTATCTCGCACGCGTCTGCTCAAGACTTCAAGCCGTCGTCCCGGGCCGAAGAGGAAAAAATTTTCAACCTGGGGATGTATGGGGGCCACCAACCGTGTGAGGAATGTGCCGACATGGGGCGGCGTTGTCATGCGGACGCTCCCGCTGAAGCCTTCGGTGGAGCGCCATATGGGGCCACGAATCGTATGAGGGGCGTGCCAAAATGGAGCGGCTGTGCCATGCGGACGCTCCCGCTGGGACCGTCGGTGAAGCTCCCTATGGGACCACGAACCGTTCTGAAAGATGTGCCAAAATGGGGCGGCGGTGCCGTGCCGACGCTCCCGCTGGGGCCTTCGGTGGAACTCCCTAGGGGGCCACGAACCATGTGAAGGGTGTGCCGAAATAGGGCAGAAAGGCCATGCGGGCGCTCCCGCTGGGGCCTTCGATGAAGATCCCTATGCGGCCACGAACCGTTCTGACATGTGTGCTAAAATGGGGCGGAGGTGCCATGCGGACGCTCCCGCTTGGGGCCTTCGGTGGAGCTCCCTATGAGGCTACGAACTGTGTGAGGGGTGTGCCGAAATGAGGCGGCGGTGCCGTGCAGACGCTCCCGCTGAGGCCTTCGGTGGAGTTTCCTATGGGGCAGCGAACCGTGTGAGGGGTGTGCCAGAATGGGATGGGCACGCGGAGAGCAGAGGCAAGGGATGGGAGGAGGGAGGAGGGGGGGGCAGCGGGAGGTGAGGTGAGGTGACGCGGGGCGCTGTCTCTTCAATTCGAGGACCCAACACCACAGGATGGGTGGGAAAAACTGGAAATGCCAGACGTGTCGTCCTCAACTGCCACTTCAGGTCGTCGTGCCATGAATGTGGAAGCCGTGCCCCCCAGTCAGTGCTGCACTTGCAAAAGAAAAACCCGACGGGACATGGACAGCGGCGACCAGAGAAGCAGGCACCAGTCACCCACTAATTCAAAAACCCACCCAACACTAGTGACAAGGGGGGTTGAAACCACACCTCGCTCTCGGCTAGGCAGCTTGTTGTTCTGTTGCAAGCCGAATTGGAAACGTGGGATGCACGTGGCCGAATTGGGCACAAAGGGCGGCGGGAGGGGTCGAGCACAAGAGTCTCCGCCAACTCCGCGAGGGCTGTCACCGTGGCTGCGTAATATCAGAAAGGAGAAGCTGACGGTCCGTCGCGGCAGGCGAAGCTGGGACGCGGCAGATCGAACTGCGCCCATGCATGGGGGGGAAGGGGGAGGATCCGGAAGAGGGGCAGGAGAGGGAATCACGGGCCAGTTAGAGTGGCAGCCTGAACAAGTAGCACTGCGGGGCAAATCGGGGACACCACGCAAGCCAGGACGTCGCGCCCCGTGTGCCAAGCGCGGAACGTCAGTGTTTCTGCTGGGTCATCGCACGTTCTGGGGAAACCAAAAGGTACCGATACCGCTGCTTCCTGGACCTCTCACGGGGTGCATTCTGACCAGAACTTCGTGGCAAATCCCAGCGGTGGCGACGAGGGCCTCCCAGGAAGCCCAAAAAGTGGAGAACGGGCCAAGGGTAGTAGTATGGGTACCTTTTCCTTCTCTGACCCCAGACCCCCGAAGCCGTGTTTTTTTCACAACGTCGAGCCCCAGAGGTCTGGACCCCTTCCCTGGGACCAGTTTTTCATCCTGGATCGGTTTTTGACAGTCCCTAGGCCCAGAGAGGGCCCCTGGAGGCCGCAAATGGCAAAAAACCTCCCGTCGTGATTTTTGGCACAGCGCGACGGCAGCGGCATCGGTGCCTGTTGTTCTTCCCCCGACGCTCGGGGGTCCGGCACGCACGTGAGCCGCTCTTGGGCACAGGATGTGATGGGCCTGTTTTCCAGCACCACCACCATAAGTTGGAGGGGGGAAGGAGGAGGAGGAGGAGGAGGAGGAGGACGGAGGAGGAGGACGGAGGAGGAGGAGGAGGAGGAGAAGGAGGAGGAGGACCCCCTCCCCCTCCAACTTATGGTGGTGGTGGTGGAAAACAGGCCCATCAGGATGGGCCTGGCCCGGGAGCGGTGAGGTGGAGGGCGGACGTCCCCCGAGGGCTTCGCGCCTCGCGCCCCGCAGAGTCCGCGGCGCGCGGCCCTCTCTCCCGCCGCCCTCGCACGGGCCCGCCTGGGAGCCGGGCGCGGGGACTGCCCGGCCCACACCGAGGCGCGCAACCCGCGCGCTTCGCTCCACGCCCCTGCAGGTGACCTCGTGCGCAGGCAGCGCAGCGAGGAGGAGGAGGAGGAGGAGGAGGAGGAGGAGGAGGAGGAGGGGGAAAAGGGAGGAAAGTCGCGACGTGTCAGGGTGGGAGGTCTGTCGACCTCCGAACGACACGAGCATGTCCGGGAAGGCGCCCACGATCCGACATCGAAGGACGCCCCGTGCCCTGATGTTTGCAGAACGTTGGCCTCCAGAGGTTTGGACCCACTCCCCAGGACCAGTTGATCGTCCTGGCCCGCTCCATTGAAGGGGCCCAAGGACACATGAATAAATACACACAAACAACATAGTGTCCCATACTTTCTCATATTTTCTGGGTTTTTGTCTTCCCCCCCACTTCCCATATTTCCCCATATTTTCTGGGGAATCGACGATTAATTGTGTCCGTGTGTTTTTTCCCCTCCTGATTCTTGACGGCCCCGAGGCCCAGCGAGGTTGGGGCCTCATGAAAAGGAGAGACGGAGACGGGACAAGAAGACAAACGACGCCAGAGGAGGACTAGCAGCAGCAGGCGCAGGAGCAGCAGCAGAGGTTGCACAAGCAGCACAGGCAGGAGGAACAGCAGGAGGATCAGCAGCACCACGCGACGACGACGACGACGACGACGACGACGACGACGACGACAGGGAAGAGGACGAGGAGGAGGACGAGGACGATGATGACGGCGCCGCAGTCCAAACCACCCAAAATCCCCCGGTGTCACTGAAGGCTGCCAAACCGACACGGAATTCCGAATCCCCTGGGGCAGTCCGAGCGGCGCGCCGGGTATTCGGACCCCCCCAGTCGGCGATCCGAGTGCCCAACAACCACCCGAAAGGCCAGCTGAAGCCTCCACCCCAGACACAACAAAGAACCACAACCACAACCAAGAGGACTTTTATTGAAGGCCGCTCGAGGGAGAACCCACCGACCTCGCCATGAACACGTTCGGTGTGGTCGTTGTCGATTTGGCCGACTGGGACGCCCACCCCGACCAACACCAGTACTACAGTCGGGGCCTTGAAGAAGGAACCCTTTTTCGTTGGGGAAGGGCTCCGCGTTCCTTAAGTGTTTCACAGCTTGCCTCAGGCTTTCCGTATGTTTTCGACAGGAAATCGAAGGTTACCTTATGGAAAAAAGGGGCCTCGTTCCTTATTTAGGGTTCCTTAGGTCAACGCCCCTACTGTAAGCTGGTTCCAGTGTTCTGACGATTGCCGGCATGCGCAGAACCTCCCCCATGGGGGTCCTCGAGGGTCAGAAGGGGCCCCCGAGGGCCCGACACGGTCCCCAAGGGGGCCCCGCACGAGCCCCCATAAAGGGCCACCGGAGGCCGAGCACGGCGAAAAACCTCCCGTTGTGATTTTTCACGACGCGAGGGGGGGTCTGGGATCCAGGTCTCCCAGCTTCGCGCTTCGCGCTTCGCGCTCCGCGAAGCGCGAAGCGCGAAGCGCGAATAACTTCGCGCTCTCGCGCCGCCCCCCCAAAGGGAGAAAAGGAGGACGAGGAGGATGGGGGAGAAGGCAAGAGGACCGCGAAGCGCGAGGGCGCGAACAGCTTCGCGCCCTCGTGGGAGCCCTTGGGGATGGTGGATGGTCGCTCGCTGTCCCCGCAGCCCCGCCGCCGATGGCCGCCGACGGCAGCAGCAGCAGCGGCGTCGGAGGCGGCGGCGGCGGCGCAGCCCGCGCGCGGAGAGGAGGCAGCGCGGCGCCACGATCGTGCCCTGCACGGGGTGCGCCTGCCGCTGGCGGTGGGGCGGCGGGGAGGGGGGGAAGGCGAACGGCGCGGGGGAGGGGGTGGGGAGGGGAGGGGATGGGGGGGAAGGGGGGGAAGGGGAGGGAAGGGGGGGGATCATCATCATCATCATCATCATCATCATCATCATCATCATCATCATCATCATCATCATCATCATCATCACATCATCACATCATCATCATCATCATCATCATCATCATCATCATCATCATCATCATCATCATCATCATCATCATCATCATCATCATCATCATCATCATCATCATCATCATCATCATCATCATCATCATCAGCAGCAGCAGCAGCATCATCATCATCATCATCATCATCATCATCATCGTCGTCGTCGTCATCATCATCATCATCATCATCATTATCATCGGCATCATCATCAGCAGCATCATCAGCAACATCATCACCGCCACCACCATCACCATCAGCATCAGCAACATCATCATCATGATCATTATCAACATCATCATCATCAGCATCATCATCAGCAGCATCATCAGCAACATCATCACCGCCACCACCATCATCATCAGCATCATCATCAGCATCATCATCTACATCATCATCAGCATCATCAGCAGCATCAGCATCAGCAACATCACCACCGCCACCACCATCAGCATCAGCATCAGAATCAGCATCAGCATCAGCATCAGCATCAGCATCAGCATCAGCATCAGCATCAGCATCAGCATCAGCATCATCATCATCATCATCATCATCATCATCATCATCATCATCATCATCATCATCATCATCGGCATGATCATCAGCACCATCCCACCTGATTGTCCTGCCCGTCCTTTCCCTCCTCCCCAGCTTCCCCCTCCTACCTCCTCCTCCTCCTCCTCCTCTCATCATCATCATCATCATCATCATCAGCATCAGCATCATCCCCCCATCCTCATCCTCCTCCTCCTTCTCCTCCACCTCCTCCTCCACCTGCTTCTCCCCCCTCTTTCCTCCTCTCCTCCTCCCTCCCTCTCCTCCTCCTCCTCCTCCTCCTCCTCCTCCCCTCATCTTCCCCCTACTCCTCCCCCCTCCTTCCTCCTCCTCCTCATCATCATCCTCCTGGTCCTCTTCAATTTCCTCCTATTGCTCCTTCTCCCTCGTATCATCCCCCTCTTAACTCCTCTTCTCCTCTTGTGTTGTTCCTCCTCCCAGTCCACCTTCTCCTGCTCCTTCTCCTCCCGCCCCCACCTCCTCCCCCTCCACGTCCTGCCGCTGCGCACAGAACTCGCAACACCCCGCCGTGGCGACCACACATGCGCGTGCACACGCATGCGAGGGGGGACGAGGGAGGAGAGGAAGGAAGAGACCCCTGCCTACTCCCCCCCCATCCCCCCTCCTCTTTGGACTCCCGAAATGGGTACGGAAGAAATGGGTACAATGCCCGACAAAAAGTGTTGTCCAAAACCGACAGCGGCCTGTGTTGGGCAGGCGGCCTTCTGTCTCGAATGAGCAACATCCGCCGCGACGCCGACAGCGAATCCTGCTCAGCATGAACACCAATTGCTGTTGGCCGTTGTACCCACTGTTCCCGTACCCATTTCGGTCCCCCGACCCTCGCCTCCCCCTCCCCTCCCCCCCCCCCAAACCCATGGCGGTCCCGGCGCGCACCGGCCTCGCCTGCACGGGCGTCTGCATTCCCCCGTACGTCCCCGCCGGCATGCCGTACTGCGCGTACTGCTGGCCCTCCGCGGCGCGAGAACGACGACGGCAGCGACGCTTCCGTATTCGACGGTGGACCCCCTGTCGACCATCGCTCCCGGGCCGTCTTCGGCGGTCGTCGGCGGCCTTCTGGGCAGTCTTCGGCGGCTTTCGGCGGAGTCCGGCGGTCTTCTCACGGTGTTCGGCGGTCTTGGCCAGCTCCCGGCGGTCTCCTTCGGCTTTCGGCGAAAGCTGGATCGCCTAGAAAGGGAAGTCCATGATCGAACACAGAACGACGTGGTCGTCGAACCAAAACCCCGAAGACCCCGAAGATCTGCGGACGATGACGACGAACTAGGTGCGAAGATTGGTTTTGCCCCTGTTGGGCCTCTTGCGCCTCTGGAGACCCCGCGAGACCTCAATCCAGGACCTCCGAGGAGATCCCAGAAAACCTCAGGAGACCCCGAAAGGCATCCGAAGATCTCTGAAGGCTCCTAGTGAAGGCAACGATGACGGCGACGGCGACAGCCACGTCAACAAAGACGATGCGGCTGATGACGACGACGACGAAAACGACAGCGACGGCGACGGCGACTGCGACGGCGACGGCGGCGACGGCGACGACGGCGGCAACGGGGGCGGCGGCGACAACGACGACGACTATGGTGACGACGGTGACGTCGACGGCGACGACGGCCACGTCAACGGCGAGCTCGAGGACGGCGGAGACAGCGAAGAGAGGAAGGAGAGAGGCGAGGACGGGAAAGAAGGACGGAGGAGGCGGGCGGAGAGAGGAGACCAAGGAAAAGATCATGTGGGAAGGATGAGGCCGTTGTTGTCGACCCTCGTTTCGCAAGGTGCAGACCAGAAGACACCAGAAGTCCCAACCGAAACGCCCAGAAAGCCCCACCCGACACGTCTGGTGGTTCGGCGAGGAAGAATTATCTACAAGGAAGGCTGGCACCAGAGGGCGGAGAGAAGATGGAACAGGCGGCGAAGGGAGAAGGCAGGCGGAAGGAGGACGCAGAAAGAGCAGAAGGAGGGAGGGGGGGAAGGAAGAGGGGGAGAGCGGCGGAAGGGGGAGGATAAGAGGCGAACGATAAAGAGGAGGAGAAGGAAGGGGAGAATAATGGAGAGGGGGCAGGATAAGAAGGCGGGAAAGAAAAGAAGGAGAAGGCGAATGGGGAGGAGAAACCCCGCGCGCGTGCGCAAGGAGGGCGCAACCTGAGGCACGTAAGCCTGCTGCGACACCACCTGCGCGCGAGCGCGGCGTGAGCAAAACATCCCGTCCACCGCCGCAGAGGACCGGGGTCGAATAGGAGGCAGGGAAATGACGAGGAGGAGGACGACGAAGATGATGACGAGGAGGACGAGAAGCACGAGGAGCACGGCGAGGAGGCCGGGGAGGACGAGGAGAAGGAGGACGAGGGCGAGGACGAAGAGGAAAGAGGGAGGAGGGGGGATAGGGAGGGCAGAACAGAGGAGGAGATGAGAAGCACGACGACGAGGAGGGACGAACAGGGAGGCGGCGAGGAGAAGAGGGAGAAAGGAAGAGGAGGGAAGTAGCAGGGCAGACCCTCCCCCTACCCGTTCCCCCTGGGTCTAGAGGGGGGTCGCCACCAGTTAGAGCGCCCAAGATAGTCTCATCGAGAAACCAAAATTGTTGACCTCATGCGGGGGCGAGGCAATTCGGCGCCGCCCCCTTTTTCACTCGCTGGCCTCTGGTCTCCAACATCGCCCCAGGACGACCCGAAAGGCCCCCAAGAGAGACCCAACAGGACACCAAGAGGCCCCCAAGACGCCCACAAAGGGCACCAAGAGGCTCCCAAGAAGCCCCCAAGCGGGCCCCAGGAGGCCTCAAGAGCCACCCCAGAGGCACCCAAGAGGCGCCCAAGACGCTCCAAGAAGCCCACCAAGAGCAAGCAGGAGGCCCCCAAGAAACCCCAAGAGGCCTCTAAGAGGCCCCCGAGAGACCCAAGGAGGCATCCGAGAGGCTTCTGGCCCACTAAAGCTCTCCAAGGTGTCCCGATGATGCCACGCTCTCCCAATAAAGGCGCCTCCCCCGAGCACCGTCCCTGGGCGGGCCGGAAGAATACTTTTTGATCGCAAGCGCACCGGGGGACGCCGGACGCCGTCCAAGAGTCGCACCTAGCGGACGAGGCACTGAATTTTGCGCACCAGGAGGGGGAAGAGGGAGGCAACGGGAGGACAGCGGAGGGAGGAACAGACAGGAGGCGGGCCTCGCAGCCGCTCAGAGGAGGGCGCCGTCGACTGGGGGGAGCTCGGGGGAATATTTTTTTGATTGACGGCTCCAAGGACAGCACCAAGAAGCGGGACGGTCTCGGCTGGGGCACAGGGCGAGATAGTTGGCAACGACGGCGCATAGGCCGACGCAACAGGTGCACGTGCCAGGGACACAATGCCCCCCATTAAAATGCGGGCGACCCAAGAGCGGGGACGCAGGCATCAGACAGAAACAGACGGAGGAGAAGTCGCACAGTGGCGCCAGCTCGAACCGTACCGACCAGCGCGTACTGGCGTGGGTCACGCTGCGCTGTGGCAGCACAGGGGGCCCGTGAGGCCGCACCGTCCATCACTACGAAGAGGCGAGAGAGCGAGGAAAGGCGGCGGGCGCGAGAGCACGCGCGGGCAGAAGAGGGGGGGAACCGAGGAACGCCTCACTCACTTGGACTCCTGGACGTAGTCGGGCGAGCTCGGGGAAATACGCCAAGCGTTAAGAATTTACTCGGGATTCTCGGGATGCCCCCCCACCACCGCGCTCCCCCAACCTTCCGTTCGCGTGGTTTCCCCGGGTACCCTTTCCTTTGCCATCCTAAGACTCGCGCCGTGTTTCACTGGCGGATCCGCGACGTCCCCGCTCGACTCCCTCGGAGACTCAAGCACCCTCGTCCTTCTTGCGTCGCCCTCGGAGACTCGTTCCATCGTCCACGTGATATTTCTGCAACAAGCGTACGGTATCCCTACTTCCTGCTCTTGCAAGATCTTCCCTCTTGAAACGGTCCGCGCATACGCGTTCATTCCTGCTTCCACCTCCCTCGGATCCGCATTCCACACATGCGTCTCCAACTTCCGCCGCCTCCCAGAATCAACGAACCCTCGGAGACTCGCGCCGTCTTCCAGCGACGTTCCCCATCTGCGCTGAAGACCGGCATTTTGCGTCGCAAGTGAGGTCGCAAAGCAAGCACGGTACCAAAGTCTGAACTGAGTCTGAGCTCTACATGGTGAACGTTTCCTTATTCGGCGTTCCGACATTGGGCGGAAGGGGGGGGGAAAGGGGGGGTCTGGTTCGGGACCTCTGCTCAGGTGCGCTTGTTTGCAACAGTGCGTCCCATGATGGAGACCCACCTGCTCGAAACAGGCGCCAAAACATAGCCGAGATCTACTCCATGTGGGGGGGGGGGTGCGAGGGCCCGCGCCGACCGGCAAACCAAGGAACAAGAAAACGATCACCATGTGTTCGTTTCTGCCTGCCTGCAGCCGCGGGCGCGGCCCACGCCTCCCCCACCCCCCCCACTCGACCCCGCCCGTCCGCTAGGAGGTCCGTTTTTGGGGTCCCCTCCCACCGCGCCGCCTGCGTGCACCAAGTGCTGTCTCTAGTAGGATGCCTGTGCTCTTCCAGGCGCCCCTCCCCTCTCTCTCAGTAAAGTCCCACCAGCCCTCTGAGCGTCGGTGGTTTTGGGAGTTTCCTCTTCCACCCCTCCTTCTTCCCCTTCGGGGAGGGGTTTACCCCTCCCCCTACCCCCTCCCCTGGGGGGGTTCGCGAGTCGTCGGAGCGTCCAAAACGGCCTCGGCGAGGAAGCCAAAATCATTGATTTTACTATGGTTTGGGCCCCATTTGGGCCTCCTGAGGGGGGGGCTGTAATTCGTAACCCCCCCTCCTGTGATCGATCTCGCCCAAGATGGCCCAAAGATGGCCCAAGCAAAGTTCTGCATGCATCCCCCCCCCTCCCGAAGCCGCGACCCCTCGTAAGAGCAGTGCGCCCGCACTCCAGGGGCCACGGCCCCTCGTGGCAAGACGACGGGGCCGCGTTCTCACGAGGCCACGATCCCTCGTGAAAGCACAGCGGATCTGCGCTCCCAGGGCCACGATCCTGCCTTTTACCAGCCTGAAACATATCCCAATCCCTATGCTGGGCATCGCCCCATCAAGATGCCAATCTTGGGGATTCCCTCAGTTTTTGAGGGCGCACCCCTGAGATTGTCATCGCCTTTCGGCGTGTCAATCTTAGGGATAGGGATAAAAGTTCGAGGCTGGAGATCCTTGAAGAGCGATGATGGATCCGCACCCCCGAACCTCCGAAACGGCCGAGGCAGGCAGCCGGGGCCGCCATGGTGGCCCAATGTGCCTCCAGGGCAGCCCCAGCTGCCCCCAAGGCGGCCCAGCGTGGCCTCAAGGCGGCCTTGGAGGCCCCCAACAGCCCAACGAGCTCTCAAATACTGCAAGCCTTGCAGTATTTGAGAGCTCGTTGGAGAAGAAGGAGGAGGGGGAAGGACGAGGAGGGCACAACAGTGAAACCAAATCATGAAGACGCTGGTCTGGGGAGGCCTTGAGTCGAACTGGAGTCGAACCGGAGTCAAACTTGAGTCGAACTTGAGTCGAACTTGAGTCGAACAGATACATTAAGTGACTGCTGGGAGGTCCACACATCGAGGATCTAAGCAAGGTCTCCTGAGATCCTGAAATGCACGACGAGGCCCCAGGAAGCCCCCGAGAGCCGCGCCAAGGGGCCTCCAGCGAGGCCCCCTAAGGCGCAAAGCACGGAGAAGCCCAAGGAGCCCGATCACGGCATCTTTCCGACGCGTTTCGGCTGCAGGCCGCCTTGGAAAGCCGCAGGCAGCCCCGAGACGCCCCCAGCCCCAAGGACGGCTCAAAACAGGGACCCCCCCTGATAAGCAATTCGCTGGCCCAACGGGCCAGAGGCGTGCCAAGATCTCCGGTAACTACTCAACAGTATTTCTAGTTCGCGCGCGCGGGGCGGCCCCTGGGGGGCTCCGGACGAAAAGTACCCCGGCCGATCCCCGGCTGACCCCCGGGCGATCCCCAGGGGGGAGGCTATTTTTCGCCACCCCTCACGAGGATCGTGGCCTCCGAGGGGTGGGCTGCCAACGACTACCCCCCCTCCCGCCCCAAGGGGCCCCCAAGAGCCCCCCAGAGGCCCCAGGGGAGCCCAATACGCCGCCAAGGAGCCCCAAGACGCTCCCAAGAAGCCCCCAAGAGTCCCCCAAGACGGCCCCAAGAGGCCCCAAATAGCGCTCCAGGGCCGGCGGAATGAGCGAAGCGATTAAATAAAAATACCCCTTAACCCTGCTGGAGGAAACCTACGTAAGTTAAGAGGGTGAATAACTGGCCAATAGCATTAGGGATAAAGGGGATCGTTTATGCTCATGTATTGAAGCAAAACGCCCAGATGTATTATCCCTAATGCGAAGACGGGGACCTAAGTGAGGCCACGCCTTCATCGTGTGAGTAGGGTTAGGGGTTCGTTTGTTTTCAATGACCCCAGGCAACCACCATGGCCCGAGCCCTGCGAAACGGCCCAAAGATCTTCAAGTCGGCCCCAAGATCCGACTGGGCGTACCCAAGATGGTTCAGCCAAACTCGGCGAAATCGTTGCGCCCAAGACGGCCCCGAGACTGCCGACGGGCCCCCAACAGGCCACCAAGATGCCGCCAAGTGGCTGCAAGTAGCGTGCAAAAGGTCCCAAAAATCCCTTCAGGAGGGGCAACGGAAGAGGGGGAGGAGGGTTGGAGTGGACATTTCGGAGGACAAGGCCGGGGCTGTTCAGCAACGGGGAGCGGGGGTGGTGGAGACCCTGAAACAACGACCGAGGCAGGTCCCTACCGCGCCAACTTCCCATGCCAGACAACCCTGACCCTCGGGGCCGCAACTCCCAGGAGGCTGCGCCATCCAGCAGGGACGGGGTCAGGGCGCGCTTCGCGGGAGAGACGAGCCGCATCGCGAGTCCCAGTGGCCGCCGAAAGGCTGAACCTCCCCAGCGGCGGCAGCGAGGCCACACGGGTCGAAGGGAACCCCGCCCAGTGAGACGCGCAGGGGCCAGCACGAGCGGCCGCCCCTCTCTGTTCGGGGGCGCCGACGGGCGGGCAGGGCGGGCCAATGCGCACACTCACACACACACACACAGTCGTTCCACTTCGGGCGCCGGCTGGCCCAACTCAGCGAGGGCAAAAGAGGGACGCGCTTATGAGTGATTACCCCCGAACGTGTGCACACA